AGCATCATGACACAGGCTTCGATGGGCAGCGCGATCTCCCGGCCCAAGCTCTTGAGGTGCGTCTTGAGGGGCACGCCGTAGTACCCTGCCACCGGGGTGTCTGCAGCGAAGGAAGGCTCTGGAAGAGGGAGGAGATCCCTCCATGTTGGGAGGGACAGTGGCTGCCAGGGCCGTCTGGCATCAAGCCATGCCAACATCTCGCTCGGAGCCGGGGCTGGCTGGGTGGAAGCAGAGGCAGGGCAGGCAGCATCCCCAGCCCGCCTCAGGCTGCCGTCCCCGTCCCACTAGTGCAGTGTGGGAGGCAGCAGCAGGCACAGGGAGGGAAAACCTGCCCTTCCCAGCCTCACCAGCCATGCTTGCATCCCCCAGGCTCAGCTGTGGCTCTCCCCAGGCTGTGTGGAGAGCTGGAGGGTACCTGTCTGGCTGTGGCTTTCCTTCAGCTCTGCCAGAGCAGAGTCCAACGATCCCAGGGACTGCCGGTGGTACTGGGCTTGGATTTCCAGCAGCTGCCGGACAGGGAACATGCAAACAGCGCTCAGTTCAGCACTGGCCCCTCTTGCAGAGACCCCCATCCCCAGGACATTGCACCCACATGGAGACAGGGCAAAGGGGGAGCTGCAAGGGGAACCCCCCTGGGGTTCATGGGACTGTGGCTATAGTGAGGGGTAGAGGGCAAATTGGAGACGAGGGGGTCATCAGGACAAGCCGCTCTGTTTGCTGTTGGTGCTAGCAGCGACGTCCACCCACAGCGCATGGAGCGAGGCCAGCTTGGGGCATCTGCTGGTGCCTGGGGCTGTCCCCTGCCCTGGCCGGAGGGCTCAGTCCAGATGGGGACAAGGCTGGGCTCACACATACCCCAGGAGATGTTGACATGCGGAGGAGTGTGAGAGAGGACTTACTCTGATGAAGTAGCTGGCGTAGCTGTCCTCTTTGGTGGAGAAGTGGTAGAGGTCAGCCATGTACTCATCCTGAGAAGGGAGACACAGAGAAGAGCAACCTTCCACCTCTTCCCTGGCACCCAAGGAAGAGGGCGTGTCTTCATAAAGTCCCCCATCTGGGCCGCGAGTCACCCGGACAAGGTCTTCAGGGTGCGGTGGGGGGGCAGGCTGGGACGATGTAGGGATTCATCCTTGCTCCCATCACTTGCATTCAGGTAGCATCAGCGACCTGCCCTACGATCAGGGTCCTGGCACAAGAGGCTCAAGGACAAGAGGTCCCTGTACCTCCAGCTCCAGCACACCTGTGGGGTCTGCCAAGCAAGGTGCCAGGCTTTTCGGAGAAACAGGGCAGAATTGGAGAAAGCTGATGTGGAAGTCCCCTGACACTCAGTGCAGACCCCCCAGCTCAGCTGGCTCCCAGCCTGAGGGCACCCCATAAGCTCCCTGCTGTAGCCCCTGGAACCTCCTCTCTGCAGCAGCTTGTGCTTTGAACCCTTCTTCTTCGCTGGGATTGGGGTATCTCCCTATTTCTGCTCCTCGAGGGACCAGTTTGCTTGCAGAGGGCAGGACATGTTGGCTGGCTGCATCTGTCCTGGTGTGGGGTCACCTTGGATGGAGCCGCTGGAGGGGAGCAGGTCTCCAGCCCTGGAACGGCCCCATGGGGGAGAGCAAGTGACATTCTCACCTTGCACTGCTCCACCTTCCTCTTCACCTCTTCCTCCTCTTCCTTCAAGATCTCCAGTTTGTTGGCAGCAGAAGATGCCCCGGGGCCAGTGCCAGCACCAGAGCTGTTACTGGAGCTCTTGGCAGCTTGGTTGAGCCTTTGGGTTGGGAGAGAAGAGGCACACCCACAGCCTCAGCACCAGGGACACGGGGTGGGACGGGTGTGCAGAAGGGGGTTGGGGACCACGAGGGGGATGGCAAGTCAGAATAGTGCCCTGCAGTGGCTTTCCCAGGCCAGCGCCTCTCACTTCCCTCCACCAGAGGAAGATGCTGCCGCACCAAGGGGTGCGACCTGGTCAAGACGGGGAGCACTCAGCATGGCTGCCCTGAAACACCCAGGGTCTTAGGACCCTTCCCAAGCCTTGTTCCTGAGATGTTTCCCCCTCTCCTCCCTCCAGCCAACGGCAGGGCAATGTGGAAACGAGCCACCAGCAACTCACGGCTGCCCTGCTCTCCCAGAGAAACCCGGCACAGCACAGGCTACCCCGCAAGAGTCAGAACGGGGCGATCCCAGTGGCACTGAGCAGCACCAAGGCACTTTTGCTGCCTTCGGCACCAGCACTGCCCTTCTCTCCTGTGCCACGGAGCCAGCAGCTCAGCCCAGAGAGGGATGCGCCTGCAGAGAGGGGCCGGCTGGATGCTCCCAAAGAGCTGTTGTCTCTTTGAATTCACTTCCAGCCCTGGGAAATTTGCTCCCCAGGGCAGTCATGTTCCTCTCTCCCCCAGCCTGGCTGGGGGCTGTGTCCCATGTGCCCTGCCCCCCCCAAGATGCAGTGTGCCCTGTTACCTGCTCTTGATGGTGTTCCAGTCAGAGATCAACTTCTGGAGGGTCTTCTTGCGCTTCAGGATGATGGGAAGCTCCTCCTGTGGGAGAGAGGGGCCAGAGGGAGTTGCGGAAGCTTGGGGACGCAGGAAGGGGAGGTGGGATGGGAAAGTGGAGCTGGGAGGGCGGCCAGGGCTACCTCACTGAGCTTGTTGAGCGGCTGCAGGACGTCATGCTCCAGGGCAATCTCGAACTCAGCCAGGATTTTGGCCAGTGAGCTCTCTATGCAGCACCCCATCTCCAGGGCTTTCCTGTGTGGGGGACAGAGATGAAATGCCTGTGGGCTGGAGCCATGCCAAACCTCTGATCCAACACCCCCCACCATACCCATACCCACGTGGGACCCTGAGACAGCCCCTGGCCCCCTCTGCAACTGGAGGCTGAAGACACTGGCTGTTCCTTCTCCCCCTGCAACACCAACCTTTGTTCTGAGGACAGGGTTTGACAGTTTGGCTTGGCCATGGCAGCCCCTGAGCCAAGACAGTGGCTCTGCCAGGGTCTGGCATCTTTTGGGGTTGCCCCCGGCCCTTTCTCCCACCAGCACTTACCCGAGGCTGGACTCTGTGTCCAGTTCCTTGAAGCTTTCAGCCATCGTCATGGACAGAGCCATCAAGGGCAGCTTCTTCTGCACAGAGCCAAGGGTTTGGAAAAGAGATGGTGAGCTGGCATGTGGCAGCTCCCTCCCCGTGAAGCAAGCCACATGGCATGGGGCAAGTGGCCGCTGGCATGTGGCGGCTCCCTCCCCGTGAAGCAAGCCACATGGCATGGGAGCAAGTGGCCAAACCCTGTGCTGGGTCCCCACATCTTCCCGTGGCCCACCAGCCCCATTGGCCCTGGCACCTGAGGAAGGGCCCTTTGGATGTCCCTTCAGCCAAAGCCAGGATCCAGTCAGCTAAACAAGGCACCGAGTTGGTTAGAAAACCTCCAGTCATCTCTAAAATAGTCCCCTGTGGTGGACCGTGACACTGATGGATGCCGTCACCAAGCCCAGCCCTGCCACGGCTTCAAATGTATGGAGCAGTTTAATCACCAAGAATAACTAAGCCAAGCTGGGGCTTGTCAGGCTGCCAAGAAGAGAGGACCCACAAAATCATGGGGCAGACTAAGGAAAGTGCGGGGGGATCCACCGTTTGCTTTTCCGAT